CTTAGGTACCAGTGGCCAAGGCTTCAGCATACCTTTTGGGGCAGTGTGGCAGGCACAATCCAGTCCGTAACAGCACCACCATCCCATTGTCTCCTCTTTTATCAGGAAGCTTGTTAATGTGTCCATAATGTGAGGGTAGCTGTAAACTGTTCAGAGGAAGAGTGACTTAGCCCGGGGAACTTCAGGGCAGTCAGTGAGATGGATGGTTTCTCAGGCTAAGACCAACTCTAGCTTCTGGCTTTAATTTGGATACTGACTCTTCCTCCAGTGCCCCACATAGAGTCAGTGACAGAGCAGCTCTGGGGTCCCAGTTGTGAGGCATCGCCCTACACAGGGTCCCACCGGAGCAGGCGGTCTGCTTGTTTTCTGCTGCTGGTCACTGAGAAGAGTCAGCTCTCCGTGTTGGTGGAAAGATACGTGGTGGACAAGAAAGACAGAATAGTTGTTCCTGTGGAGGATGCATGACAGTGGGAGAGACTGAGAATGCCTAAGTAAACAGGCAGATTGCATCATTTCAGGTGAGAATAAGCACAGTAGAAACAAGGCAGAATGTGGAGAAAAGGAATCTGTCTCCGCTGTGGGTGGGAGTGTAGACCAGCACAACTGCTGTGGAATCAGTGTGGGGATTCCTCAGAAAACTAAGAATAGAGGTCTCATTCAACCCAGCTATTCTTCTTTTGGGGGTCTTCCTGGACGAATTAAAAACATCACACCACAGCAACAGGTGCACACCCATGTTCACAGCAGCACACTCTGTAGTCGCCAAATCTTGGAAACAACCCAAATGCCCATCAACCTAGGAATGGACACAAAAGATGTGGCATTTTTATACAATAGAGTGCTACTGAGAAAAAAAGGATACACTAGAGGCATTTATAGGGAATTGGCTACAACTGGAGAGCAACTCATACATGTGATAAATCAGATTCACATGTGTAAACATCATGTTGTCTCCCAGTGGGAGAAGCTGAGAGAATAAATAAGATCCAACATGCACATCAGATATTGTAAAGTGGAAAGAAACTGCTCCAAAGGAAAGAGAAACAGGGATGGGAGAAAGCAGAAAGCAAGGAAAGGAAAAGGAAAAAATATATATATGTACACACACACACACACACACACACACACAAAGATAGCTGAAATAGTTACACCACTAGTCTCTCTTACCTCACTGAAAAGAAAGCCTGCTGCTAATATTTAGATAACTTTTCATGTCTGTATCTTGTACTCGGTGTAACTACTTTGAAGATAACAATATGTCCTGCATTAACTGTTGTTTCTCTAGTATATTGTTTTGAAATTCTGTTTTTTCTTTAAAACAAAAAGTAAAATAAAGCAAAGGGTGGGAAATGAAGGGGAAGGCTTCTTTAAATAGTATCCCTCCTAGACACCAACGATGGAACAGAGATTTGAGTCACCTAGCAGTGGGTCACACAAAGACCTAAGGAAAGAGCCTTCTGGGCAGAGAGAAAAGCATGTGCAGACACCAAGAGAGCTGTGAATTAGGAACCTCTGAGGGGAAGGTAAGGACTTCTGCGTGGAGCCAGGGTTAGGGTTAGTATGAGGGAGAGAAAATTGGGGAGGAAGGAAGTGGGCTTCTAAGGCACTTAGATTGTCCCAAAATGTCAGGATTGCAGATGGAACTCAGGGAGTGGAAAGCAGACTGTCACCTCTGGTGTGTGTGTGTGTGTGTGTGTGTGTGTGGTGACTGAATTGTATGGAGCAAGAAGAGAGGCAAAGAGAACACTTGGTAACCAAAGGCCACAGCCCAGGAAGGAGATGAAGACAGGTAGGAGGAAGCCGGGAGCCGTGAGGCTGGTGAGAAGTGGCCCATTTGGGGTTTTTGGCTTTTAGGTATACAAGGTCTGCTGGCTTGAGTAAGGGGCACAGAGAAAGCAGGGGGAGTTAGCGTGGGTTATTTGTTAAATCACTTGGCAAAGGCTGGTGCCATCTCCTTAGAAGTTAGCAAGTTTGGGAAGAAGGAAAGGTCAAAGTTCCTACTTGGCTGCAGTAGTCTTCTCTGAGGATGGCTAAAGAAGTCTTCAAAAATAGTTTTATTGAGATACCATTCACATACCACAGGATTCATCAAACTAAAGCACACAATCCAATGACTTTAGTCTACTGTGGCTATCAGTAAGATTTCTACACCCACCACCATCTGTGCAAGCCTCAGGTCTATCACCATGATCAACTTCAGAGCACTTTCATCACCCTCAAAGTAAACCCCTCATCCCTGGCTGTTTCCTCTAATCCCCGCCCCTCCCCCCTCCACCATAGCTAGGTGTCATGGTTTATGTTTGTGTCCCCCAGGCCTCATGAGTTTGCATTGTTCATTTGTGATGGTTCATTGTCTAGTGCTTGGATTGATGGTGTCAGTGCTCCACCCACATAGGGGTGGGGCCAGGATGTGATGTAATGGCAGGAAGAAGGTGTGTTTTTCTCTTTGCTGGTTTGAGTTTGCTGCCGGCGGCCGCCATGAACTGTGGCCCAGCTGGGCCTGCCTGTCTTGGAGACAACTGAGTGTGCACTGAAACCTCCAAAAACTGTAAGAAATAAACCTTTCTTTTCCCAACTTGGGCTTCAGGTATTTTGTCTCAGCAACAAGTAAAAAGTAACTAAGACACTAGGCAACCAGTAATTGAGCTTAGGGTTCAAAGGAGAGGCTGGGGCTGGAAGTACACATTTGAGTGTCTTTCATAGTAAATGTGGTTAAAGGCAATGAGCGTGAATAGAAGACTGAGGACTGAGCCCTAGATGCCTGGGGGTCTAGAAAGAGGGAGAAGGGTGATCAAAGGAAGCTCCTGGCTCCTAGAGAAACCATGGAGGATGGTCATCCTGCCAGGGAAGGTGGCCTTGAGACATGGCACTGGAAAAGTGGGTTCTTTTTGCTGTCTCCACTTGCAACACCTGCTATAAAGCATGCAAGAAACTCTGTGGTCCTTCCTTGCCACTGGAACTTTCTGAGTCTATTCTATGATGGTTTCCCTAGCCTACCAGGGGTACCCAGAAAATCCCCACTCAAAAGATGCATTTATAGGAGGAGACCGAAGTGCTCAGTTACTTAGGAAAGATTTATGACCTTGTTGAGATTAACTCTTGTTGCTGTTAATGGATGTGATGCCGAAAAGCAATGACAGAACATAGGTCTCATTTTATTTTTTAATAGAAAGAGCTAAACACCCATCCTCCTTCCCAGACTGGCTAATTCCACAGAGACTGGAAGACAGAGAAGCCTCACAGTCTGCCCCAGGCCACCTCTCCTCTTTGCAGGAGGATGAGTGTGACTTTTAGGAATTCTGGGATTCTTGAGATTCCAAATGAGGCCTTAGTTCAAAGCTCTACTGAGGCCACATAAGGGCAGAGGAGTCATGGTTGTCACTTTGCAACACAGGGTGCCGTATCCTTGTCCACAAGGCCCAGGGAGTCTTGGGAAATCCTTGTCTGCAGTGTGTGATTATGAATGTGAGCTTTAAAGGCAGCATGCTCCAGGGTGAAGAACTGCCCTGACTCTGATGAAAACACACTGTGACAGCAGAGGTCCCTGGGACATCCACTTATCTCCTAATCTTCTAGCTCAGCTTCTGGATTGCACAATGCACTGTGTGTGCGTGCCCGCGTGCGTGTGTGTGTGTGTGTGTGTGTGTGAGTGTGTGTCTTTCTGTCTGTCTGTGAGTGTTTTCTGGGAACTGCACCCAAGCCCTCACACATAATAGGCAAGTGCTTTACCACTGAGCTACACCCCCGAATCTTTGTTAAAATTTTATTTGCTGACAGGGTTCTGGTAAATTGTCCATGCTGGCCCTAGACTTCAATTCTTCTGGCTCAGCCTCCATAGGTAATGAGAACTACCATGTCCTTCCCTGGCACACTTGAGAGTTGGAATTTATCTGCTTGTTCACGATCTTTTCAACCCCCTAAGAGACCAGGATGTACAAGGCCAAACGGGACAGTGGCCTGCATACAGAATTACCAAGAAAATAGGGCAGAGATCAAAAGAGCATGTAGGTGAAACCTTCTCTTAATATAAAAGTGTCCCGCTAATTTGTTGATATGCAGTGGGATCAAAGTTGTCTAGGGTTCACAGCCATGGGAAGGAGAAGTGTTGCAAAAATGTGACAAAAAGGCTCTTGAAACTCTTGGAGTTGGACTCCCCAAGGAAAGAGGGCTGTGGGGTTTTCTTTTCCTTTCTGGGATCCAGGTTTACTGTTGAGGTGCTGGGAAGTGCGGGGGCAGTGGGCAGCCTGCAGAGCTTTAAATTATGTGGGGCTCATGTACAAATCGCAAGTTCTGTTGTTTCTGATTTTCAGGACTCTGTATTCCAGTTATAACGAATATTCCTGGATGGAGGCGCTGTAGAGATCTCCAATCCAGGGGAGGACACCTCAGGGAGGTCTGGTGAGAAGGGTGCCCTACCTTTCTACAAGTACAGCTTTTATCTATGGAAACAGTATTGGGGGAGGGGACCCCGGAGGGATCGCAGGAGAGACCAGCAGGTGACTAAGAAAGCAGAGTGGGTTTTCAAAAGAAAACCACCAAGAAAAAAAAAAATAGTTGAGAATTTCCCCTATGTGGCAGCATTTGCCCTGCAGAAAGAGGTTTGCAAACAACTCCCCAAATCTCAGCTGTGGATTGCTCCAGCAGCACAGGGACCCTTTTTACTACTTCCACCTCAGCGCCCTCTTCCTGCACCCCAAAATCTGCACCTAGTTCTAGGGGCGTGTGTGAAGAAGGAGGGGAGGTCTGGGCGCTGAGCAGGGATTCAGACACCGCGCCCTCTGGTCCTTACCCTGACCAGATCCAGAGGCCTGACTTCTGAGCAAGGGACTGGCGCCCCTGGACCCGGGTTTCCGGAGGAGAACCCCCAGCCGCGTGGGTTCAGCGGCTCCGGGATGGCCTGGTGAACTGCGGCAACTTCCAGCCGGCGACAGTGGCGAGCTCAGCTCCGGGGGATCCCAGCGCGTGAGTCCGCTGGTCTCTGGCTCCTCCCTCTCCGCCGCGGGTCCCGGGACTCCGGCTCCGCTGCTCCGGTTGGGGGCAGCAGTCTCGTTTGCCACCAGCGTCTTTGAGCTCCTCGGGCGCGGGAAGCGGACCGCCTCGGCCCGCAGCGCAGAACGCAACCTGCCGGAGTGGCCGAGCCTGAGCTCCCGCTCAACGCCGAGGCAAGCGCAGCGGCGGGGCCCGGACTGAGCTGCGCGCGGTAGGGGCGGGCTAGGGGCGGGGCTCCGTGCGGGGCGCGATCCCAGAGCCAGCGCAGCGCGCGGCCGGGCCCAGCCTCCTCCCCGCCGCCCGCGGAGCCGCAAGTTTGGCGGCTCAGAGCCCAGCGCGCATTGGCACGCGGCACCTCTGTTCCTGCTGGCCTCGGTGCGCCTGCTCGGCAGGGACCCTCGGAAGCGATGCTCATGGATGTGCTTTTAGTTGTAGGGTTCTGCGTGTGCACGGCCAGGACAGGTAAGCAGGGCGGGGCGTGGGAGGGATTCGGGGAGTGGGAAGGGGGCGCACCGCGGCTGCGGCCCGCGTCCACACTGGCGCAAGCAGACTGGGCCGGAGCTCGGCGCCGCCCTAGGTGAGGTCAGCGGCACGGGTTGGTCCTTTAGATCCCTGTGGCCGGCTGGGGGTGAAAGGGCGACCAGCGGCCCTCGCGGGCTCGCAGGGATCCCCTGAGCGTCCTCCTCTCCAGGGACGCGGCTGCCTAAGGGCGCTCGGGAGTGAGGGGTGCGGCCGCGAAGTCGCAGCCGCCGGCTGCTAGAAACCGGCTTTCCGGCTCCAGGGGGTCCAAACCCGCTGCAGGGCGGACGCGCCAGCCCAGCGTGCCGGAACTTGGAGGGTATGAGGCAGGGGGCAAACTGTTCCCCGAGCCAGACCAGAGGCACCCTGGGCGGGGGGCGGGCTTGGCCGAGCCAGAGAGGGCGCAGCGGGGAGCGGGAGCCCGAGACCGAGACCCTTGCTCTCTCCCCGTCCCCTCAAACTCCCAGGGCAACTCTCGAAGTATCCGTGCTCTCGCCGGCTTCTGCCCCAAGAACCTGGAGAACACCTTTATTCGGTGTGATTGTAGTAGCTGAGACTATGGGGAGATTTTCTGGAGGTCTAAAGGAAGGTTGCGGGGCGCGGGGGGAGGGGGGAGAGGAGGGAGCACGGACAACAGGCCTAATTGTCTCAAATCCCCGCGCTGCTTTGCTTCTGGGGCGCAGTTGTGGGACCTCAGGAGCACTTCCTTCCGCTTCCACTGGCTGCCTTTCTCCAGTCCCTTGGGGATCCAGCCCGTTGTAGCGGCTTTCTATAAGAGCTACTAGGAGATGCTGGGAGAACCAAGTGAGCTGAGGCAGGGTAGAAATAGGCAAAAAACCAGGGGCTGCGGGGTTGCTGGAATTCTCATTCCAAGCCAGAAGCCTGTCCTCTGGACAGGTGGGCCACTCACTTTGAACCCCAGGATGCATGCATGGGCATCTCCTCACCCCTAATGTTTTACCCCAGGGCACCCTGATTTTCCTTCTCCAGAGGTGCAGCCTCTTTCCTGGTCAGCAAGCAAGTTTATCTGGAAAGGGCCCCCGGAGGGGCACTGGCTCTTGGTTGGCTCAAAAGTTCGGTCTGCCCTAGCCCCAGGCACCCCTCTTGGCAGTAGGAGCCAAGGATCCCAGGCCCCTAGAAGCTTCCAGCTGGGACTGAGCTTTCCTTTTTGCTTAATCTGGAGCATTACAGAGACATTTCTCCAGGGACAGAAGACTCCCACTTTCTTTCTATCCAGCAGAGCTGCCCAGGCTACAGCTGCCCTGAGACTCAAGTTAGCTGGAGTAGCTGTTTTGGGGAAGTGTGGGTTAATTTTTCAAAACCTAGAGCTCAGAGGCAAGGATGCTTCCTAGGAGGAGGAAAAGGACAGGCTAGGCTGGTGCAGAGCTGGGCGCCCCAGAGCAGGGAGAGCCAGGAAGGATCTGCAGACTGGGAAGAGCTGGATGGGATCACTGTGCAGCCTCAAGTGCGAAGTCCAAGGTGTCCAGGATCTGTCTGCTTATAACTGCTTTGACATGTTGACCTCTCCACCCCCCCCCTGCACCCCCTGCAATCTCCTCACCTAGGAGTGCACTGACTGTCTCTCCAGAGCTCATTGCTGTGGACCTTAAGCATATCATAGGGTTCTCTGTCCCATTGTCAGACCTTTCCATCTTGTAAGACATTGGTGGTAGGGGAAGGTTCATTCATGTATTTACTTCTTCATTCCACAAAGAGCTAAGTGAGCTAAGTGTCTTGCTAGTTACCCTATAACATATAGCGAGGAAATGATTTGGTCCCTGACTACTGGGACCTTAGAGTTTAGCTGAGAATCCAGGTAGCAGCTGGGAAGCACATTCATTATACAGCTGGATGGGGTCAGGTGGGATTTTAACAAGTTTGTGTGAAGGAAATAGGGAAGGGGTGAGTTAATTCTGGGGAAAGGTGGAGGTGGTCAGGAAAGGTGACATTACAGAGTTGTGTCTTGCTGGGCTTTGAGCCAGGTAAAGTGGGAAGCACTTTGTACAGGCAAGAACTCAGCAAAGCAGAGATACTTGCGGTGGCCTGACCCCACTCACTGGTTGTAGCTGTTGCCTGGGGAACTTAACTTTTCAGTGCTGCTGGGTCCCTTGCTATTTGAACAGCACAGGTCACATATTTGCTATACAAAAATTATCGGGAGACTCAAGGAGACAACGAAGGAATAACTTTGCCTTTGTACACTCACCGTTTCTTGAATATGCATGTAGTTTTCTGTGGACAGCCTCTTTGATTTTGCTGGAAACCCACATTCCTACTTCCAGCCCCTTCTATAGGGAGTGAAGACTGGCTGGTGATGAGTCTATTGGGATCCAAACAGCTGCTTGGGAAGTTTATTTTTCAAGTGAGAATTGTCATGAGGGATGTTAACAGTCCTAGATGAAATGAACATGTGGCTCATTTAGCGAGCTGCTGGGATATCACTGCCTTTTAATGGAAATGAGTGGATGGTATCAGGCACATTGCAATTAAGGCAAGCTGCAGGGCGGCAGCAGTTACCTATGAGAAGATCTAGTGACAGGTGTCCTAAGGAGGCTGCGGACATTGTTCTTATTATAAAAGCTTCTGCTAGACAACAGAGTGGAGTAAAGATAGGAGATGCTGTTTTTTAGTTTTTGTTCTTGTTTCTGGATAAAAAATAATCTGGGACTTCCGGGCACATCACTGATAATGAAACCTTGGAGGCTACAGAAGTGGTGGTTTCCATGAGTTTGGAAGTGGTGAGTTATTTGAACTCAAGGATTATTCTCCACTGCTTTCCAGTTTGCTTTGTAATCAGGGTAGGGAGTGGAGGGAGTACTGTTCCTGAAACATCAGTGTCCCAGGTGCCCAGGGGAACTGCTGTTGCTGCCACCTGCTGGACGGGAGAGATTTTTTTTCTTTTGGAAGCCACTCCCAGTTGGTTTATTAATTATGGATTGAATAATCGAGCTGTGAAAATGAGCCTCCGGCCTCCAGGGATGTAAAGTATTGGCTCACTTGAAACAAACAGAAAACAGCTTCTTCAAGGAAATTGCTTCTGGGGATGTTCAGAACTGATCAAGCGGTTGTGAAATCCTGCTGTTAAATGAGGTCTCACAGCATCTTTCTGGCGTCATTTTACTCCTCATGGATCAGGAAAACAGCTGTCACCAGGGGCCATAAAATGGATTAGATCTGAATTGAGCCAGAAGCAAGAGGGGTTGCTTGGGGGCCTACGTCCTGGACATCAAAAGTGGTGAGTGGGCTTTGGGCTCGAACACCCCCAGAGCAGGGCTGAGAGTGGCCAGCGGCAGCAGGTATCCCGGTCAGGACCAAGGCTCTGAGTCCCAGGGCCGGGTCTCAAGTGCCCTGTGACACTGACATGCTGCTTTCCATGTTTTAAAAATATCTCCTCCCGGGAGCTTTTTATCCTGCCTCATTCTAATTCCCAGCTTCAGCCATTTGTGGCGATTTATGTCAAAAGAAGAAAACGTTATAATAGAGTTTCCCAGGAAAGGGCAGGAGCTCCGTGCCTGGAAAAGAAACAGAAACACTAAAATAAAAATATTCCTGGAACTCACACTCTCGTGCTCCGTAAGGTTCAGGAGGGGCCGTGTAAATACTGCCTTATTAATAGGTTTCCTGATTCCCTAGGTGCTGTGCAGAGTGCTACCCTTTATACATCCTGCTGTTGGCTCTGGGCATTTTCATCCTGAAGGCCACCAATTAAAGGCGGAGGAGAAAATTGTACCCAGAAGCCTAATTGATTTACTTTGTGTTGTTCTGTGTTTATGAGATATTTTCATAAAAAGAACAAAACAGTTGGTGGGAGGGGGTGGCCACCTGAATGTTCTGCATTATTCTAAGAGTTGAAGACCAGGACTAGCGAGGTGGAGTGGAATAGGAAGATGCACCTTTAAAAATGGCAGGCGAGGAAGATCCCAGTTGGAGATGAATTCTGCCAAGTCTAAGCTGTGGGGAATGTTTCCAGGGTCACTGGGGAGACTGCAGGAGTCGTGGAGGGTTATTACCACCCCACTTTCACAGATGAGACAGAGGCTTGGAGAAATAATTTTTCCAAGAAGTGATCTAATCTGTAGAGGGAAGAGATGGGGCTGCATGGGGTTTTTAGCATTTTTTTTTGCAGCACTTTTTGGATTGAGGGTACTGTGTGCTCACCTTAGGAGAGGGACTCAAGATACTGTTGGGACATGATGGTCGGTTCTGCAGAGTCTAAGTGCATTCTAGGCTGGTGCAATCCCAGGCTTCCTGATCTGGGAGATTTGGTATCTTTGGGATGACCTTGCATCAGTTACTACTGCAGTACTGTCACATAGCACGGACTTAAAATAACAGTCATTTATTTTGATTCACATATCTGTAGATTGGTTTTCCCTGAGCCAGGCTTGGTGGAGCTTAGTTCCAAGTTTAAGTGGGGGCCTGCACCCCGTGTCTTAGTCTTCCTGGAGCAGTGGGCCTGCAGGTCCGTGTTCCTCATGGCGATGCAGAGGTACAAGGAAGTCAGGTCCCTCTGCGCAAGCACATGGAAGCCTATACTTGTGTAATGTTACTAAAATCCTGATAACCAACGCTGGTTACACTGCTGAGTTCAGTCAGGGGGTGGGGAGGCCTCCTGTCACTCTAGTGGGAGTAATTCCCAGCCACATGTCACAGAGTGTGAGTGTGGAGAAATGAAGGGCTGAGGCCAATAATTCAGCCAACCGTAGTCTCCTCACAAGGTTGCCTTGGCCTGGATGCCATCTCGACCTCTCATGGTGTCCCCAGATATGCACATTGCTCTGATGTCTGTTCTCCCAGAGCAGTGACCATGAACCCACTCATCAGACAATTATTCAGGTTCTAAATTAAAAGCCTATAAGGTGTCAGGACCTGTGCAAGGCACTGGGGCCAGAGGGACACCTCCTTCCTTTTGTGTCCAGTGAAGGGCACAGTCACCAGGCCACTCTCAAGATTCCTGGCCAGAGAAGGAACAGCTTGGAAGTCCTTTGAGATCATCCTTGATTTAATTTCTGCCATATAGTAGAACACCAAAGGTCAAATTGAAATATTAGTTCTGTGCTTGTCTTTCCAAGGTGATCACAGAACTACTAGCACCTGAGCTCACTTAGAGAAAAGCAGTGTGGGTCTGGGTGCCGGACTTGGGACGATAGGAAACTGGCTGGTTGACATCTGCTTTGCACAGAGCAGCTGCTTCTGAACTGGGTCTGTGTGTAGGATGAACAGGAGTAAGCACGTGGAAACTAGTCAGAGCATTACTGGTCCCCTTCTTCCTTTACCTGTAAGCCTTGAATGCCTCCAGTGATACAGCGGTCAGGCTCCTTGTTGCAGGCTGTGTGAGAGCATCCTCAGTGCCCCACCATCCATATATTCATAGTCCTCCCTTGGTGACACCCGTTAAAAACTTATTACATAGATGACTGCAGAGTCCGTGGAAGTAGTGGTTGTCTTGGGGTAAACTGGCCCCATAACTGGCTGTATTCCACAGGAGAGAATTCATACGTTCAGTTTAGGAGACAAGGGAAAGCCAGGCAAAAACAGCAAAGGCAGTGATGTGCACTATACCTTCCATTTAACCTTTTTGTGTCCTGGCACCGACAGGTTTCAGCTTCGAAGAGCCCTTCCTGAGCAGCCTTCTAGGGACAGAAACCTCACTGTGCAGCAGTCGCTGTTTCCTAGCAGGAAAAGAGGAAGCGGGCAGAGGGGGTAGACTTACCTCCCCTCCTGTGTAGGGCCAGGTGAATGTGGGAGCACAGGTGAGGCTGTGACAGCTCATGATGTCCTGATGAATATTGTCCCAGGCGCTTTGGGACAAATTGGGTGTGAGCTCTCATAATGCAGTCTCGGTGTCTGCATTACCATCAGTTGAAAGTTGACAGCTGTTGCTGATTAAAACATTTCCAACTGTGCAATCAGAATTTCACTATTGAGATGCTAAGTATAGATAGATGCAGGCTTTATGAATGGCCCAGACAGTTCCTCAGAGTGATGTGCAGCCTTATTAGCATATATAATTGGAAATCACTTTGCTGTCATGCATGGATCATTCTGCAAAACACGGACTGGGTAAGAGACACGTCTGGTATTTTCCATTCTCAGACTAGAAAGTGGGAGATCATGCCCATGTTTCTTTTTATTGAAGTTCTCCAACCAAAGTCAGGAATCTCCTTGGGTAGAAATACACATCTGAGCTTCTACTTTCTGGCCAGCTCCTGCACTGTTCTTTTCTAATAGGACCCGGGTCTCTCTCCACTTTTTTTCTCTTTATGGGAGTTGGTTGTACGTGAGTAATAGATGTGTTCTGTATAGGACTTTACTGTGGTGGTGACGTTAGATTTTTGCCTTTGCAGCTGTCTCTGAGGCAGGTGGATGACAGCTGTAAACACCTATCTGCAGTTCCCAAATCAGAAAAATCTTAGCACCATAAGATTTCTTGAGAAACTTACCACACAGCAAAGCCTATCCTGCCTTGAACTCACTTGGTAGCAGAACCTGACCTCAATGGATATTAGGCTGTTTATATCCTTTATGAAAATTAGAGAAAAGCACCATACTCTTTAGTCCAGAAGTATTGCAGACTCTGATAGTGGGATGCTGATTCAGACTTTGCTGAGAGTATTGTCTCAGATATGGCATATGATGCATTTTGAGTTCTGAAAAATGTTTGGCTCTGAGGATTTGGGGGGATTATCTGTGTAATGCAGAGAGGGACTGGGAAAAGGTACAGAGAAACTGTGCTATCAGAGGGGCAGTGGGAAGAGTTGTTTTCTCTTATTCTCCAAGGACTCTCCAACACTTTCTGTTGGCTTCCTTGTATTCCCCACCACGCCCTGCCTCAGTGGTCTCTGTTCTGTGTTGCTGCTAGCCTCCTGCCTATTATGCCAAAATAGTTCTTTATTGCTTTCCAGTGGTTGGCTCTGGACTGGACCCCGACCTTCAGATGGACATTATCAGCGAACTTGACCTCGGAAATACCACCCGTGGAATCACTCAGGTGTCTGGACAGCACAATGGCAGCAAAGCGTTTTTATTTCAAGGTAAAAGGACTTCTTCCTTGCATGGGACAAGCCGGGGGGAGTGCTGGTCAAGGGGAGTGTCCACTGGTGGGCCTTTGTCTGGTGGTCACCTTTGCTAGTTTTTTTAGGTCCTGGTCCAGAAGACCATTGCATAAAGTAGCTGCCTGGGGATTTTGGTGGAGAGTTAAAGGGTAATGAATTTGGGAGAACTTTGGAAAACTATTGGCCCACTATGTTATTTTTGCAGGTGATCTCTTCATCCATTATCTGTCCCTTTACCTGTGTGTATACCTGTATCCGTCATCTCCCTGGTAGACCATGAGCACAGTAGATACTATGCTGTCTCCTGTTAACAGTCCAGCTTTTCTTCCCCTTTCACTTTCACAATGTCTAGTGTACATTTTGGAACAACTGGGATGAGGGAAAGGAGAAAAGAAAAAGGAAAAGATACGTGTGTAGGGATACATATATAGATGTATGTGTGTATGTGTGCAAGTTAACTGTACTACTGATCCCTGTTAGTTCATCAAACAGAACAGTTTGTGCTGTCATTGTTTGATTGTTTGATCATTTTTTATGCCTACATCTTGTCACCTGAACTACTTCTAAGATAACAATATCAATGTATTAACTAGTGTTAATTTCCTACTATTTTTTGAAATTGTGTCATTTCTACCATTTTTTCTGTTTTTTGCTTTTTTTTAAAAGAACGTTTGTGCTTTCTTTGTTTGATAACAGTACCCACTATATTAACCATTGTTAATTCCCTGTTACATTGTCTTGAAATTGTCACATTATAAGTGAGCTTACCCAGCCCTGCCCATTATAAAATTGATTACAATTCATGAAATCACTCAGTGAGCATTTATAAAGACAGTGTTCTGTGGTTCTTAAAAGGATGGGGTCTGGAGCTTTACTGCTTGGGTTCCACATTAGCCCTAATTGCTTTGAGACTTGAGTGATTCCTTAGTTTGATTTGTTCTCATCTAAAACAATAGATCCTTGCTGAAGCTACCTCATATGGTGGGTACGGGGATTCAGAGGCAGCCTGTGAGAGTAGCCTGGTAAATTCTACCTTCCCTTTTGGAGTTCCTGTCCTGTATTAGGTAGCATGCTAACAGTAGGGTTACCAGTAAGAGTACATAAGAGGCAGCCCTTGCTCTAAAATATAATAAAGGAAACAATTATTCCACAAATCGTTGTTGAGTTAAACTGGCTGTGTACAATGAAGGAAATGTGTAGGCTGATAAATAAGAGTAATACAGGCAGGTCTGATCTAATTGGAGAGGCGGTGGTTTTAGAGAAAGGACAACCTGAGAAAGTGGTTTGTCAGCAGAGACTGGACCACATGAACAGGCAGCCTCCTGTAAAGAATGGGTGGGGCTCAGGGAAGTCTGGGCAGAGGAAATAGTACCAAGCTTAAAAGTCTAAACCAGTAGAAAGGCTTGAAAGGTGGTGAAAGGCTGGAGAGGAGGGCATGGGCTAAGTGATATTGGACCTGGTGAGCAGAACTAGCATCCTCATGCTGTGCATGGGTGTGAGAGTGCTGGGGATTTACAGCCAGTGTCCATTCCTGGAGGTGAGAGGCCAGGTACTTATTATTAAGCACTGTAAATAGCTCCCCTCCCCATAGGCCGTATTACTGGTCTTGTAGGATACTTTCACTGTGGTGGGGCCTTTGTTTTGGTTAAAGCAGAGAGGCAGACTGGTTGCGTGTGGTAATAAGGCGGCTGGGATTTTTCTCTGAAAATACCTGGCAGTGTTCTTTTGACACAGTCTTTTAAGAAGACAACAAAAGGATTTTTTTAGAATGACTGAACCAGCATTGTGGAAAGAGATCCATGTGTTCCCTGGGCAGATAACTCAAGGCTTGTTAGTGACACATAGCAATCTACAGATGTAATGAGAGTGCAGATTTGTTACCTTGTACTTATGAAAATGTTGGTGAGATTCTGAAGCTGGGCGTGGTGAAGTGAATACACACTGGATCACTTTTCTTTTTGCACTGCACAAGTCTACACAGTCACTCTTGGGAGTCCACGCTATTTTCGATCTGAGTAAGGCTGTTCTGAGCCAGGCTTGGTTGGTCTTTAAACTCCAGGAATCCATACTTCGAAGCCAGCCTTGTGCATGGTGCACTGTAAATGATTAATAAAATGTTGCAATGAGTTAAAATTTTTCTTTGTCCTATCTACCTGCAAGAGGCTTGTTCCTGCTTTATTTATCATTCATTCATGTATTCATTCATTCATTCTGTAAGTGTGGGCCTGTTGGCCTGAGAAGTCTGCTCTCTAATCTGTGTGTTGTCTATTTTTTAAATCTGTTAGCTAGGCTGCAGCAGCTGGGAGATCTTTTCATCTTTCTTGGTAGAAGACTAACTTCATTCTTGGAGTCTGAGGAGGCTTTTCCATATATCCCATCTCTTGTTGATTACACTCAGTGCACCTGGGCAATCCAAGATAATTTTGCTTCTCAAAGTCTACAGTTTGGTCACATTTACAAAATCCCCTTTGCCATGTGAGGTGATGTATTCACAGTTCTGACGTTACCTCATAGACATCTGCATTATTCTGCTTTCCCCAAAATCTGTTCTCTGCCCTCCAAAGATTTATGTTGGTCACTCATGCAAAATAAATTCACTGCATCCCAGTATCTTCAAAAACTTTGACCATATAATTTCAGCTCAGAGTTCAAAATCTCTAATTGGGAATTGGGAAAATTCCACAACTCATCACTCAAGCTGTTTCATTCAGTTGTTGTTTTGGGAGGAAATTCTGCTCTATTTGTAGACCTGTGAAGCTAGTAAATAAGTGTCTATTTCCAGCATATAGTGGTGGGACAGTATGGAGCGCCTGCTGTGGAAGGAGGAAAGGGAAGGAGCACAGCAGTCACCAGTCTGAAGTAGCTTTGAGGTCAAGCTGTGTGAACTTCATTGTGTTTCACACTCTGGGAGTAACCTTTGCTTTCTATGCCTGTAACTCATTCCTTGGGGACACCACTCAGTTTTTTTTTTTTTTTTTTTTTTTTGGTAGTATCAGGGATTGGACTCTTGGCCTCACGCTTGCCAAGCAGGCATTTATGCCATTGAGCTAAATCCCCAGGCCCACCACTGAGTTTTCATGAAGGATAGCATATATTTGCACACCCGTAGTTTCAGTCGTTGTTTTTGAGACATGGTCTCCCTAGGTAGTCCAGGCTGGCCTCAAACTCCTGGCAAACCTCCTGCTTCAGCCTCCGGACTGTTGAGATTACAGGCATGCACTACTCTGCCCAGATGCAGACAAATAGTCTTACTAGCCTGTTTCCTGCCTGCGGAGCTGAAGAATTTTGGGGGTTTGTCAGCCTCTTTCATTTTATCCTTTCTGTTCCCTCCAGTTCAAGATGGTAGTGTTTCTGTTGGTATAAACCTCAAGAATATTTTTAAAAATACATTTTGATTTTTGATCAGCACATAACAATTTTATATATCTATGGGATACACGGAGACATTTCAATATCTGTGTACAATGTGTAAAGATCAGATTAGGGTCACTGGCATCCCTCACCCCAGCTATTTATCACTGCTTCATTTTGGCAAATCTTCTCTGCTAGTTATTTTGAAATCTTCAATTAATACTTGTGGACCATAGCTGTGCCACTGTGCACTGCACCCCGTCATTACATAGCCTCTCCCTGTCTCTTCCTCTCCCCTTCTTTCCCAGACTCTGGTCTCTGTGAGGCCAGCTTTTTGGTGTCCACACGAGTGAGGACGTGATGGTGTTTGCCTTCTGTTGCTGACTTACAGCACAGCACGATGTTGTACAGTTCCTTCCATGATGCTACCACTTTCCAAATGTCACTCTTTTTATTGAAGTGACAGAATAGTACTCCGTTGTTGAAGGATACAGTTGAGTTGTCCATTTGTCTGTCTGTGGACCCCCAAGTTGATCATGCATCTTGCCTACTATTAATAATGGTACAGTAAACGTGTGAATGCAGAAGTGTAGTACCCGCCAATTTCAGTTGATTTGTGTGCTACTTCTAGTGCCTTTGAGGGATCTCCGTGCTATTTCCTGTCTCAGCCAACAATGTCTGAACATTTTGGGCATCTTCGACCGCATTTGATGACAGCTGTTCTAATGGGGTCAGATGATAATTCATTACAGTTTTCATTTGCCTTTTCCTGCTAATTAGTGAGACTGAGCATTTTTCCTGTGTGTTGGTCATTTATATATATTCTTTTGAGGAATGACTATTTAGGTCATTTACCAAATTTTTAATTGAAAAACATTTTGCTATTGACTTGTGGTCTTGGATGGAAATAACCTGGTACCTGATGGCAAATAGTTCACAAATATTTTTTCACACTCCTTTTCTCTTCATTCTGTCGCTGGTGTGCTTTGTGGTGCAAAAGCCTTATAGTATGATGCGATCCAATTTGTCAAACTTTGGGGGTCTTTATTTTTGTGGTACTGGGGATTGAAACCAGGGTCTTAGCACTGAGCTATTCCCCACCTTACAATATATTTATTTTGAGAGAGGATCTCACTAAGTTGCTAAGTTGGCCAGTTGGGATTTGAACTTGCAGTCCTCTTTCCTCAGCTTCCCAGAGTGCCAGGTTTGCAGGAGTGTACTGCCATGCCCAGACTCTTCTGAGGTCTTGTCCCAAACACCCTTGTCTGTTCCTATGTCTTGAGGATTTCTCCTATGTTTCCTTCTGCCTGTTTCATAGTTTTGTGCCTTACATTTAAATAGTTGATCAATTTTGAGTTGATTTTTGTATCTGATGAGAGGTATGGCACTGGTTTTATTTTTTTGCATGGTGCTATTCAGTTTTCCGAGCACCATTTGTTGAAAACTTTTGCGTTTTCCAGTGTATGTTCTTGCTGCTGTTGTCAAGAATCAGTCGGCTAAAAATATGTGGATTTATTTCTGGGTTCTCTTCATTGGTTTATATCCATCTTTATGATGTGCTTTGCTGTTTTGGTTAATATAGCTTTTTAGTATGTTGAAGTGGTAGTATTTTCAAGAATCTTTGAGTT